TATAACAATACTTCACTATTAAATGCTCTCAGCAATCATTAACCTGTGTCTCCTGTATACTAGAATAATAAAGGAAAGAGATGCTTTAAGGTTTGTCTCAGGTGAAGATAAAAAATCCTAATTGATAATAATAAAAAAGAGAGTATGTTTCTGATTTCTCTCTCCCTCCTTCTCTGTCTCTATCTGTCTTTCTCTGTCTCTCTCTGTCTTTCTCTGTCTCTCTCTGTCTCTCTCTGTCTCTCTCTCTCTCTCTCTCTCTCTCTCTCTCTCTCTCTCTCTCTCTCTCTGTCTGTCTTTCTCTCTCTCTCTGTATTTTGGCTAATACTAACAAATAAAATTCTGATAGTATTCTGATAGTAGAGCACTAAACATTATAATACCATGGCTTCCAGCTCAAGATTTTAAATTCCATTTTGTTGATTCCTACTATGTTTAACATTTGTCTCTTTCATAAACTTACAAATTCTTTTGAGCTCCAGAGACAGCTTGGGTCTTCCTGGACAGCTCAGACACACTTCAGATAAGTATTATTCAAACTTTTCTGGTTCAGGTACCACCCTCCCTCATCCTGGGACTCCTCAGGGAACCCCAAGGTAAATTTTTTTTCTAAACTTTCTCTTCTGCTTCTCCAGCACCTTGTCAGATCCCAACAGCCAGATCCAAGTGGTAAAGGAGAATTCCACAGGGACCAAAGCAGCAGAAGACAATTCAGCTACCTCAGAATGTCTGGCTAACTCAAGAAAAGCCCCCTTCCTTAATTAAGCCCAGTATTAACCAATGCCCACTGAGTCTGCTGGGAACACTTCTGGGAGACATGGAACCCTCATTCCTGTTTACCTGACACCTTTAACCCCCTATCTTTTTTGCCATAATTACAAATGTGGAATGCTATGATTTGTAGTCACCCCCTAGCTACATGACCATGCATGCACTGTCTATCAGTCAGGCACAATGCTTATTCAGCACAGGGCCTTACATCCTACATAATCTGTGCACTATGTGATCATGTAATCTGCTGGCAGAATGATCACTTAATCTATGTGCATGCAGCACACAGCTGCATAAACCCAAATGCACATATTCAGGCAGACCTATAAAAGCAGATTCTACACATTCCTCTGCCCTTTATTCCACATTGTTCATTTTTAATAGGCCTATTGCAAAATCCCTCTTCACCCTCCTTGAATAAAAATTCTTAGTGTGGTTTTTATTGTACCTCCTGTTTTCTCTCACATGACAAATAGAACCATAAGTAAATAGCAAGTGGACTGAGAGAGTTAACATCTGCTGCCTAGATTATACCTATTTACAGAAATTTTTTATTACTGTTTGGACTTTGTTGATTGTGACTCTAAGCTGCCAAATGCTTCTGGATGCTATCTCTGTGATGTTTTCATCAGATTCTATATGTGTTTCTTTATGAAGCAGAATTATAATTATGATATATAATAATATATTATTGTTCAATTATAACATATACTCATAATTTAACATGAAGTTGAATAAAAGTACATAATATATTTATATATATTAGAGTGCTCTACAAAAAGCTGTTAGGATTGAAGAAAGAAATGTTGATTTCAAGGCTTCTTCAATATAGACTCAACAGAATTATAGTATCTCATAGTGTCTTAATGATAAAAAATGAAGATTAGTTTATCGTATAAATTAAAATTTAAATACATTTATATTCTCTGCAATTATGTTGTCTACGGTAAGTCCCTACAAGTGATTGCACAGTTACATTGGATGAGACACTCATGTTTTTCTTCTTCAGATTCAATTCATATTCATAAAATAGCTTCTTAATATTTTTATATAAATATATTGCTTTGAAAATTCTACTGCATTCCCAGTTCTAGAACTCTGCTCCAATTTCTAATATCACTATTACAACTAAAGTTTATGTGTTTTTTATCTTTAATAACAACTGAGTTCATTTAAGGCTCTTGTATGTCCATCAATATGGCCTATCTACTGGAACATGAGTAACCCCTAATGGTAAGCATACCTGAAGAAAATATCTCAATAACCTCCTCAATTAGCTGATTGAACCAAGAGTCACTCTAATAAGCATTGGACTTCATTAGACCTACCTGTAGGCTTAATTGCATTTTTTGAGTGCAGGATATGCGACAGAAATTCTGCATTTAGTTCCATGTGTTTGAATTTGCTACATTGGCTACAGTTGTCCCCCATTGCAGGCTATAGATCTTCAGGCATTCCCCATGACTGTGGTTCGAGATTTTGTTCTCACTGTTGGACCTTTGTCTTCTGTTCACATTGCCCTAGCCCTCACTCTTCTGGCTTGCAGAAGCATTTGGTGACCTGTGCCAATCACTGATCCACACTTGATCCCAGGGAGGCCTAAGATCGTATTCTTTTAATCAAATTTATTTTTTCATTTTATTTATTTTTTTTCTGTCTGCTGCAGCCATGGAAAATGAGACTTCCAAAACCATTGGCTCCACTTATCCTCTAGGATGTCTTCTGGAAACTCAAGTCTCTCAGCTTAGTGCGTTAAATAAAGACTTCTAAGCTTTTCATTCTTTGCACCAAAATATGGCCTAAGTATCCCTTAAAAAAACTATAAAAAAGGGCCACCTAATGGCTCACTAGACTCCAATATTTTATGGGAATTATCTAACTTCTGCCAGCAAATGGGCAAATGCAAAGAGTTACTTTACATCCAAGTCTTTCTCTATCTCAGCTCTAAACTCTCCCTCCTTGATTCCTCTTCTCCTGTCCACATGATCCTGGGTATGCAACCTGAACTGAGGACTCTCTTAGTACTGCTCTGGACCCTGCTAATGAATCTCTGCCTATCTGAACTCCCAATCCTGCTCCTTGGGCATCTGCCCCTTTGTATCCACTGCTAACTCTGCCCTTGTGTCCAATAGCGGGCTCCTCCAATCAACTGCCCAACTCTGGCTCCCACTTGTACTCCTCCTATCACTCACTCTCAAGTTGCTTAGGCACCCAACTCCAGTCAGACCATCCCGGCAGCCATTATCCCTTTGTACTATCTACATCACCTCTTTCACCTTAATAGTCTTTCTCTGCCTTAATTCATATACGCCCACTTACAGGCTACTTCTGAGGACTTAAGAACTATTACTGCCTCCTGTGAAAATTGCCACAAGTCAGATTCCAATTCCAAATATTGGAGACAAACTTTTCCTACCCAAAGGCTAGCGATTCCCTTCCATGAACTCACTGGCAGCTCAACTTTACCCATATGCCAATGAATTAATATGTCAGATGAATTAAGTATCTCTTCTTGATTGTGGACTCATTTTGAATATGGTGGAGGCATATTGGTTTCCAATAAAGGGCTCAGACAGTTTTAGACCTCCTTCTCCAGGAAAATATTCCCGAATTTGTGGTCCCCATCTCCCTCCAGTCTGATAATAGTCCAGAGTTCACCTCCCAGATTTCTGAGAACCTATCTAAGACTCTTAATATATCATGCCATTTTCATATGCCATACCATCCTCAGTTCTCAGGAAAGGTGGAGCATACCAACTGGTCGTTTAAAAGCATTCTTATTAAAATGCCACAGGAACTTCACTTTGGGTGAAATTATTGCCTCTAGTTCTTTTCAGGCACTGGGCCCTTCCCAAGTAGCCACAATCAATCTCACCATTTGAATTCATGTTTGGGAGACTGGCTCAAACCCTTGGCCTTCTATCCAAACCTTAACCTCTTCCTGGCCACCTCCTTGCCTATGATGGAGGAGTGTGTGCATTCAATTTGTGTCTAGAATAGGAACCGATACTGAGAGTGTTCTCAGTTCCAACCAATGGAAAGTAATTCCTGTGGTACTCTTGGAGATCTCCTTCAGAGCTGCTGATTCATTTCTCCCTCCTACCTAAATGTGCTCATCTGCTGAAACAATGAAACCAAAGGCAGATGACAGGAAAATAAATTTAATGTATTCTAAGCACTGAATGCAATTATCAAATAGAAAACCATCCCATGGTAACTAGAGGGTGATCATCGATCCAGCTACTTGGCCCTATATCTTTTCTGTCTTACTGAGAGCCTCCCATTCTGCCTGCTGATGCCTGATTGTGCTTCAAGGTTGCCAAATGAAGCTTGCTGGTAACATATTCTGATATGTCTTGTCAGATTCCCCAAGTGAACTTAGTTACACAATCTGACACTTGAAATTTTCACAGGGATCCAAGTTACTAAGTGTGATTTGTCGCTGACATAGTCATTTTCTTAGTTGGTCCTCTGAAGGAGCATATGATCAGTTCAACCCTGTTTTCTGTCAGGTATTGATTCCCAAAGTAAATCATCATAGCAGATAATGCATGATCCAAGATTGAGCAGGTAATCATAGATATTAAGGCTGAAACAGTGGCTTCAGAGGAAGGAGGACACTTCCTGCATTGCAAATAGAAGTGTAACTTGAAAGTTTCTCTCCAGCTCCCACCAAACCCCGGCAGTCCTGCAGCCCACTTATAAAATAAACACACAGACTTATATGATGTAAACTGTTTGGCCTAATGGCTCAGGCTTTTAGCTATCTACTTCTTACATTTTAAATTAACCCATTTCTATAAATCTATACCTTGCCACATGGCTCACGGCTTACCAGTATCTTACATGTTGGTACTCACGGCAGCAGCTGGCAGCTTCTCCTGACTCAGCCTTCCTGTTCCTAGAATTCTCTTCTCTGCTGTCCTGCCTATACTTCCTACCTGGCTACTGGCCAATCAGCATTTTATTTATACAGAGTAATATCCTCAACACTTCCCCTTTTTTCTTTTTCTTTTCCAAAATGGAAGGTTTTAACTTTAACATAGTAAAATTACATATAATGAAACAATTATCAAGCAAGAATTACAGTTACAATATTAAAGAATATATCATATCTATGCTATATTTGTGAGTCTATGTTTCTTATCTAACTTATCTTTTACCATAACTGAGGAAATTATAACTATCTAGTTTTCAACTGCACCAAAGACCCCAGAAAGATATACTATTACCTGAGAAATGGAAGAAGGATGCAAGCAACTTTCAGGAATCTTGCAAGAGTAGACAGAGACAGCTGGCAGCCTGGACAGTCACCTAATGTTCCTTTGTAAAGTTGGGGCATCTGTCTTCAGCCCACAGGCCTAGAGTCTCTCAGTAACTTCTCTCTGTGTCCTATAGAATGTCTGGCAGTTTCCTTGCGAAGCAGGAACCGGAAGGACCATTTTGCCAAGCAAAGTTCAGTGGTCACCTTCCTATGGGTCCTGCATGTCCAGTCAATCAAGCAGTCCAGGCAAGAACAGTTTCTTGCCAAATGGCTATTTTTGACAAGAAGAAGATAAACTCCATATAGAGTGTCTTCGATGCCCATCCTCCTCTCTGAAGTAATTCTGTGCTTCCAGGAGCAGACATGTCTTATTGTCGAGAAAGTCTAAATTTTTAAAAACATTTTAAATGCCATATTCTGTAGGTCTTTGAAGTATTTGAAGATTACCTATCTATGTGAAATATATCTATGTATACATAGAAAACTTAACATGACTATAAGTTTGACTATCATAGAAGACTAATTGTTCCATTACAATTTAAATGAGTTGTATAAACATAATACCTTAAACATGAGTAAAAATAAACATACAGTATAACAAAATTAACTTTAAATTTGTATCAATAAACTAAAATCCACAGCAATGCAAATAATTCTTAAACAAGTTGCTCTTTAAAAGTAGGTTCATAGCCGGGCGGTGGTGGCGCACGCCTTTAATCCCAGCACTCGGGAGGCAGAGGCAGGCGGATCTCTATGAGTTCGAGGCCAGCCTGGACTACCAAGTGAGTTCCAGGAAAGGCGCAAAGCTACACAGCGAAACCCTGCCTCGAAAAAACCAAAAAAAAAAAGAAAAAAAAAGAAAAAAATAAAAGTAGGTTCAATAATCTAACCCTGTATCTTATCACTATACTGTCCTCTTTTCTTCTTTAGAAAGAGATTGTATTTATAATCAACTTGTTTTATATAAAAATATTGGTTTTTTGACCCATCCCGCGGGCCAGGTTATTGGGGAGACCCAAGGAGGCACCTCCTGAAAGATCAATGGGGGCGAGAGAGAAAGGAGACCAGGCGCATAAGGGAAGACAGAGTCAGTATGAGTCACATCAAGGTCTCGTTTATTGACTGGGTATTGAGGCTTATAAGCAGGACTTCAGGCAGGGAGGGGGGAGCAGGGGAAGCAAAAGGAGAGAAGAATGGAAAATTCCTAAGGAAGGGTGAGGTCGCTTTGGTCCCAGGCCCCTGCAGCTGGCTGATTAGCACGTACTCCAGGAAGTTGTACAGCCCGCGGTTAGGCCAGGAACCTGTTTTTTGCAAGGTTTGATAAAGTAAGGAAGGTCACACAAAATTCAAGACACAGCTGTCCGGAGTTGGTCTCCAACAGTTTTTCTCTGTCCCACACCAGAGGGCTCTTCTGATATGGGACACAGAGTCTTTCAACTTTTTGTTTTTCTTATAGCAATATCTTTGGGTTTAGAGAAGGAGTGAGCTAATTCTATCTCCAAATCCAGCTTGGTATATTTAGAGAATTTGGGCATAGCTTCTCATACTACTTCCTGTTGGATGGGGGTGGTATATCTTATGGGGACACAAAGAAAATTTGAGGATTATGGACTATGGATTATGGAGTAGTCCGTGAGGGTGTATCATCTGAGCTACCTTCATTAGCAGGGAAAACTACTACTGTAGGTTTGAAAACTGTTTCTGAGGCAGAGGGGATAAATTGAGACCAAACTGTTAACTGTCAGGGAGAAAGACTCTCTGAAGAAGTGGAGAATGGACAGATTCCTCCCTGGAAGGTGCAATATCGGAGGAAAGGTGCTAGAGTTTGAGGCAGGTTCAGGAGGGGGGAAAGCTCCTATCTCCAGAGGCAGCTAGCAGAGGAATAGAGCCACAGCCTGTCGTATCTGAAGCTCTGCATCTGTGGGGGAAGGAACAAGGAAAATGAGTTAAAGATCTAAGAGTAAAAGACTCTCTGAAGCTATGGGAAAGCTCTGTTGTAAATGTTTTTGTTTTTCACTGACTAAGACAAACACAAGCCCCAAGAGAAGTTGGTAAAAGGAATGCCCATCTCAAGCATGCTAATGATGCAGATGTGGTTCAGATCCAAGGCCTGTGTCTGATGAAGGAGAGGCTGAAATGCATCATAAATTGTGCTGGTGGTTGCCATGGTTACTGGCAGAAAGGTCATGCTCACAAGAGAACCCAGTTGCTTAGTAACAGACAGCTTTATTAGATGGAAGGGGAGGAGGGACAAAAGAATCAGGCCTGGGGATGAAAGAGATACAAAGATGATGGAGCAGGGGGAGACAGCAGAGTAGAGAAGACAGAGGGTGGGGTGTTTATCTGGCTTTTAAGGACTTCCTTTGCAGCAGGCTTATGGAAATACACAACTCATGTGCTGATTGCATGACCACACTGTGCACATAGTTCCCACAGCACACTGATGATGTACGTTGCAAGACCATTTGCTTAATTCCAAACTGCACATTGGTACAGTCATGTAGCTGGAGTGATGGCATAATTCTAACAGAGGCACCTGTTAAAGCCAGCTGAGGAGAGAATAGAATTGTCCAGATGTCCCATAATTGAAACATAAAAAGCTTGGTTCTAACCTCCCAGGCAAAAAATTTTAAAAACAAGCTCAGAGAAGAGAACAAGACGTTGATTTTCAGACTCAAAAAGAACTATGGGAAATAAAGTCCTTAAGCTAATTAGTAACAGCACACTGATACAAGAAAAATGCATTCTGGGAAAGGTAGTTTTTCCAATAGAGTTGGTGACATTGCCTGGGAAAACTTTTCAACTCAAAAAGACATTCATGGTCTACTTAAAATACAGCTTTTAAAAGAATAAGAAGGAACAAAATCATCTCAGAGTTTGTTGAATGTTAGTCCCAAAGAAAAATTGTAAGAAAACGGAAACTGGAGTTTCAAGGTTTTGGGGTTCTTTGGGGAAAACGCCTTATTTTCCCTAAGAGATGTGCCAAGTTTTTAATGGGAGTTGGATGACAAAATGCTACATATAAGAACAAACAAGCCACTTTAAAACCTTTTTAAAAAGCAAGGGAAAGCAGTCCATACACTGAACATTGTTTTAGAAGAAATGTATGGGAAATTTATAAAGTTCTTTACCTCTTGAACAAACAACCTGCAATGAATGATTCTTTGCAAATCTAATAAGGAGATAAGAATACAGACATTCAAAAAAGGAATGACTGTTTTATAGATGGGTATCAAACTTTAGAATATATAGCTGTCTTTAAAAAGTAGAGTTGCTTCACCTGAAAGTTCCTTATAAGAAATCAGTGCAAAATATCAGATCTGCTAACAATAATTTCAGGGCTTAAAGCTAATGAAGTGAAAATCCTAAATCTTGAAAATACTCTTCTTCAGAGTAAGCTAATGAAGGATATGTTTCATGAGAAAATATCTATGTGTTTGATTCCTTGAATAGTAGCAGTTTTGGTGAAAATATTAGGCTAATAAAAACCTATCAGAAACATCAACATTGTTAAAGAACTCATGGCAAATACAGCTTTAAAAAAATTAAGAAGAGGGACAATTGTATCAGAGCTTGGTGATGAGTGTAAAATGCAGCTAAGCAAAGGTCTTTTTATTAAGGTTCCATCTTGTAGTCTGGGGATAGTAGGAGTATAAGGAGACCTCTACACTGCTGAGAAGTTTAAACTATTTCATCAATGGTTTTGGTACACAGGGAAACCTGCTGAAAGCTGCAGGTCTGCAACTCCACTGCAGCTTAGACAATTAACTTCTCCTGGTGGAAAATTGTCTGTTGATTTGCCAGCTGAGCAATTCAGAAACAGGATATTTCTTACAAGGTTTTCCTTCTCTTCCTTTTTCTTTCTTTCGGGTTTGCTGTAAACTGACATAGCTCTTATTAGTCATGATTAATTATCTGAAATGCATAGCAACAGAAGTCACTAAATCCCACAGTTAAGAGATAGCCATTAGAGAGCTAAAGTCTTGTTTCTGAAGAACTATCAGAATGATAACCTTTGAACTTTAGAAATGATTTGCATATGTCCTGTCTAGTTAAGAGAATCTTTCTAAAAGAGATAGTCACGATAATTAAGAGTAAGATATAGAAAATTATTTTGTCTTGTCGGAAAATGTTAAATCTCTTCTAAGTTTTAAGAAATCTTTAAGTGTTTGCTAAGTTAGATATACACTAATGGTGGCCCTGTAGAGTTTGCTTAATAATTCTTATGAATATGTTTGTAAAAATAGATCTACAGATTTTCTTTAAGAAGTGTAGAAAATGGCCATGATGTAAGTTTAAGAAACAAAGATCTAAGGCAGTTCTATAATAAGCTTGTTAAAATTATGTAAATTTAAGTAGGTAGTATAAATAAGTAGATGTTAATATGTTTTATGTGAGTCTGTAAAAAAGTTTAAATGTTGAATGTGAGTTTATGCTTAAGCATATGCCATATGTGAGTTTGTAAAAAAGCATACATGTTAAATATGAGCCTATGCTTAATGTATATGATGAAAAATCCTGAGATACAGAAGATAGTGTCCCAGCAGACTCCAAAGCAGGCAGTCTGAGTGGTTTAAAAAGCTCCAGAATCCACTAAGAAGCTAATAATGGCATGTGCTGCAACGTGCACAGCAAGACATGCCCTGCTGAGATCCATGGAAAATTAATGCAACTCAGAAAAACCTGAGCCTACAGCAAAAATAGTGTAGGTTAAAATATTACTATAACTAAAAAGGTCTCTGGCTTGAGAATGAAAGTTGCAGAGATGCTTGTTTGAACTAAAATTGTTAAGTGCAAAAAGTTTCGGTGACAAAATGTCTCATCATATTTGGAAGTGAAAGTCTAGTACCAGAATTTACATTTTTGAACTTTTTAAACTAAAATAAAAGTAGATAAAACTACGAAGATGTTTTGGTTATGGATTTCTTCCTATCTGGAAAGTTACTACCAGAATTTATTATGTGAATTTTGACTTAAGAAATGAAATGAACAATAGTGATTTCATTACAATGGGACAATTTTGAATTTACTTATGGTGATGACCTAGGGACTGTTTTACGGAATTAATGTGGAATTGTTTAAATGAAGAAATTTATTGTTTCTACATAGGCTCAAGGTGCACTTTTTTATGTATATATCCTGGTGGTTCATGAATTGTTTTATGTTACAAATGGAAATGTTTTATGGAACTGTTTATGTAAAAATGGAACTACTTATGGAACTGGTTTTGTGTTACAAATGGAACTGTTTAAATGGAAAAGTTTGGGTTTTCTATCTGGGCTTAAGATTTTGTAAAAAAATATTATAAACAAAAGGGAGAAGTTATATTCCTCAGTATATTTCATTAATAAATATTCTTGTTATTTGAGTGGATTAATGTCATA